GTGGCGACGGGAGAGGGAGTCGGGGGTGGAGAGGGGGAGGGAGGAGTTGGGGTGGGAGAGGATTAAGGGGTCGATTTTGCTATTTTTTGTTAGAGAAGGTCGGTTTTGCTGGTTAAAATTACAAAGTAGTTGCTTTTAAAATTTTGTCCAAATTTTTAAGGTGTTAGTCACATTGAACTAAAACTAGAACAAAATTTTACAGTGGTAGTCAAGTAGAACTCTAACAAAACTAGAATTTGGATAATGGTACAAAATTATTCCACTTTTTTATTTTTCTATACAAAAATGAGAGTTCCAGTCTCTCAAATTATTCTAAGTTTTAGCTTGGAACTAGATGGTAAAAAACTAGAACTCATATTTATTTTGTTATTTATTTATTTTTATATTTTTTTCTTTACTTCTTTTCTATTATGGTTATCACCATCATTAGACCATCATTATAATAATAAATGTCAATATCTTATAATCTAACCAAAAGTTATTTAATAGTAAAAAACATTCTTGTAAGCAATTATCAATCAATAATAGTAAGTTTAAAATACATAAATAGTATTTATATCTTAAAAAAATGCATAAATATATATTTTATGATTATAAAAATTTATCCCACGTTATTTTATTAAAATATCCCGCTTCACAAAATTATTCATATTTATCCCACTAAAATATCCTACTAGTAAAAAATTATTACACTTTAATAATTATCCCATTTTGCATGAAAATGTCCTAATTGACTAACACCTCCTAAAGGAAAATTATTAACTTCATGTGGACGTAGTTCTTCATTCGAAGTCCGAACTATGTATATATTTGTACTAGTATGATCACCGTGCAAAGCACGACATATTTTTTTCCCGCTAACATATTCCCATTTTTAACTGCTACAGTGATTTTTTGAATTGCTACAGTGTCCCGCTCTGCTACAATATTCCCGTGTGCTACAGTACTATTTTTCAAAAACTGTAATGTCCAGTTTCATGCTTGCTACAGTAATAATGCTTCTGTGGTATTACTGTATCATGAATAGTAAATCTTGGGTTCTCCCATTTGTATAGAGGAGTAGATTTGCGATGTTTCTCTGTGTGATGCTTAACTTTTTAGGTGTGTATCATTTTCGTTAAGGAGTAAAATAGGAAAAAAAATTTAAATATAATTTAATGGATACGAATACATAGTTAATATAATTTAGAAATTTAGAAATGAAAAAAATTAGAAAAAAGCTGAAAAACCCAACGGGCCGACCCACCCCTATGCAGAAGAGAGGAAGAGAGAGAAGTGAGATGAGAGAGAGAGGAAAAAAGACAATGATAAAAGGTTTTGAGTAAATATATGGTGTATATTCAACTGATTTAAAAATATATGCGTTTTTAAAAAAAATAAATAAAACATAAAAAATGTTTAAAAAGGAGAAAAACATTTCCCCCTTTATTCTTTTGAGATTTTTTCTTTTTTTAGGAATCTAAAGATTCTAATTCATTGCATCAATAAGAATTTGTTACATATATATAGCTTAGACTATCCTGGGCATCACAAAAAATAAGGTATATTTATCTCTGTAGGCATAATGAGCTAAGTTAGTGTGCACAAAGATTTTTTTTTTTAGAACAGTGAATATGAGTCACATATGAGAATTTGAACATCTTGAAGAGTCTAAGAAGAGACTGAAGCCCTATGAGGCAGGCAAAGAGTTCAGCCTAGGGGTGTCCAAAAAGACCGTAAGTTAGTGTGCACAAAGATTTTTTTTTTTAGAACAGTGAATATGAGTCACATATGAGAATTTGAACATCTTGAAGAGTCTAAGAAGAGACTGAAGCCCTATGAGGCAGGCAAAGAGTTCAGCCTAGGGGTGTCCAAAAGGCCCGGGCCCGGGCCCGGAAACCCGGGCAAAATCCGGGTCCGGGCCCGGGCCCGGGTCGCCGTTTTGCCCCTTAAAACGGTCAAAAAACGGCTATTTTTCGAGGGTTTTTTGGTCATTTACCTAGGGGGCTGCTTCTATAAATAGAGGGGGGGTTTCAATTCATTTTCTCACAACAAAACTCATCTATTTCTCTCTCTACTACTCTCTTATACAATCTTATACTATCTCATACTAATATACTATCCTATAATCTTTTGTATTTTCTAATACTTCCAACAAATGGCTTCTGGGTCTGATTATGAAGAGCAACATGCAACTCCTACCGATCCAGAGATGAGTCCTCCTACAACAACTCCTCATCCTACCGGTGTTAATCCTGAATCTGGTGGCGACGAATCTACGGCACCAAGAGCTCCAAAAAGGCCGAGGTCTGATGTATGGAATTTTTTTGAGAAGATAGACGTCACCAAGGATGAACACGGTAGGATCATCTCTCAGAATGCGAAATGTGCGTTGTGCGGCCAGATATTCAAAGCTCATCATAAGAGCGGCACCAACCATCTCAAACGGCATATTGAAAAACACAACAAAGGCCAAAATCTACAAGGTGATATCCGGCAGTCTATGCTTTCCCAATCATCCTCTTCAGGTACCCTCGGCAGTTGGAATTATGACGCTGCCCGAGCCCGGAAATGCGTAATCAGGTTTATTGTTCTTAAAAACCTTCCTTTTAAATTAGTAGAAGATGATGAATTTGAAGATTTATTTAGAGATGGTTTTTATCCTGCATTTACAAAATTTTCTCGTCAAACCTGTCAACGTGATATTTTAAAATATTATGTTGAGGAACAGGGAAAAATAATTTCTTATTTTAAAAATTTAAACTGCAAATTTTCTTTAACTTCTGATATTTGGTCATCTAGAGTGCAAACTGGTTATTTATGTATAACAGCACACTGGATTGATGAAAGTTGGAAAATGTTTAAAAGAGTTGTTTCTTTTATTGCAATTGAAGAGTCACACACTGGTATTAATGTTGCAAATTTAATTGTTGAAGAACTTATGAAACTAGAAATTGATCAAAGAATATTTACTCTTTCACTAGATAATGCAAGTAATAATAATGTAGCTGTTGATTTTCTGAAAATAACTTTGTCATTGCCATGTCATGGTGAGCTTTTTCATGTTAGATGTATCTGTCATATTTTAAATTTAATTGTTCAAAGTGCATTTTCTGAAATTAAACCCATGATAGAAAAAGTTAGAACAGTTACTAATATGCATAATGCTTCTGAAATGAGAATTAAAAGATGGAAACAATGTTGTAAAAGAAAAAATTATAAGCCTAGACTAATTCCAAAAGATGTTGACCATAGGTGGAATTCCACCTATGCAATGTTATCTGTAGCAATAGAATATAAAGAAATTATAAATGATTTTATAAATTTTTATGCTTCTAGTTCTAGCTCTGGTAGTGCTTATGGAATAACTGAAGATGAATGGACAGTTATATGTAAATTAAATGAGATGTTACAAGTTTTTTATGATGCTACTATGTTATTATCTGGTTGTTATTATCCAACTATTACTTTAGCTGCTTTACAAATTTTAAATATTCAAAAAAATTTTACAAAATATCGTATGGATGATATTTTTGGAAGTATAATTTTTGAAATGGAGAGTAAATTTAATAAGTATTTTAGGCCTATTCCTCATATTTTTGGTATTGGTGTTCTTATTGATCCATGCTTGAAGGAAATTGGCCTTCGAAGTTTGTTACAATCATTGTATGGTGGACAGATTATAGACTTAGATGATGGATCCACCCTTACTGCTACTACTCATTATTTAGCTATTAGAAATTATTTTCAAACCTTATATGATGAGTATGCAGCTAGATATGGTGTAGCTACACAACAGTCTTCAGCTTCGGCACCT